CACTTGGATGCCCATGGGAACTGCTTTTTCTTTGACGGTGAGGCCCAACGGCACCATCATTTGACATCTGTCCAACCATGTCAGCATCCATGATCTATGGCCTTACAATGGTAAAAGTGAAACAAAATCTCCACAACGTGAAAACTAAGAAAGGAATCATCAAAGACTCTTTCTCTTCCACATTTCTCCACAAAAAAACTGCAACGTTAATCCTTAAGCTGTTAGATGTGTTGTTATTGTTTACTGAGAGTCAGTTAAGTCGCTTGAAGGCTAAGAATGATATATAGCAGTAGCTATAAATAGAACATTTTACTCCATCTTCGAATTCTCTCTCATCTCTCTACAATCTCGGTTTCCCTCTAGATTTTTCACCATTGTTTGATTTGCTATAATTCAGAAACGGAAGGACGAAGGCAAATGAAATCGAGTTACACAGTTTTAAACAGTGAAGGCTCCCTCGCAATGGTTCAGGTAGAACTAGAAGCAGTACCTCTCAAATGCGCACCCATTGTGTCGTCCTACAACGACAAGATCCGCCCTCTTCTGGATGCGGTAGACAAGTTACGCAGCTTGAAGGTGATGGATGAAGGCATTCAGCTGCCAACGATTGTGGTGGTCGGAGACCAGTCATCAGGGAAGTCTAGCGTGCTCGAATCCTTGGCCGGCATCAGCCTACCTCGGGGCCAAGGCATCTGCACGAGAGTGCCTCTTATTATGAGGCTGGAACACCACTCGAGTCCTCAGCCTGAACTTTCCTTGGAGTACAGTGGCAGAGTTGATCGTACTGATGAAGACAATGTTGCCAAAGATATTGTGAAAGCTACTAATTCTATTGCGGGGGGAGGTAAGGGAATTTCGAACACGCCACTTACTTTGTTGGTGAAGAAGAATGGGGTTCCGGATCTGACTATGGTTGATCTTCCGGGAATCACAAGGGTTCCGGTCCATGGTCAACCTGAAAATATCTATGATCAGATCAAAGATATGATCATGGAGTATATTAAGCCGGAGGAAAGTATTATTCTGAATGTATTGTCTGCTACGGTGGATTTTACTACGTGTGAGTCAATCCGGATGTCACAAAGTGTAGATAAAACTGGTGAGAGGACGCTCGCTGTGGTTACAAAAGTGGACAAGGCACCGGAAGGACTACTTGAGAAGGTCACTGGAGATGATGTAAACATTGGTCTTGGTTATGTCTGTGTAAGGAACAGGATTGGTGACGAAACTTATGAGGAGGCAGCGGCGATGGCTCATGAACTATTTCAAACCCATCCCCTGCTTTCGAAGATTGACAAGTCTATTGTCGGTATTCCAGTTTTAGCACAGAAGCTGGTCCAAATTCAAGCAAACAGCATGGCAAAAAATATACCCGAGATAGTGAAGAAGATCAATGACAGGCTGAACTTCTGCATTATGGAGCTGAACAAAATGCCAAAGAGTCTTTCATCTGTTGCCGAGGCCATGACAGCCTTTATGCAAATCATTGGCTTGGCTAAGGAATCGCTTAGGAAGATTCTTTTGAGAGGAGAAATTGAGGACTACGCGGACGACAATCGCATGCACTGCACTGCTAGATTGGTTGAGATGCTCAACCAGTACTCGGATGAACTTCACATATGTGCTGAAACTGATGCAAAGAGAAACTTCTTGATGAAGGAGATCAAGATCTTGGAGGAGACCAAAGGTATTTCACTTCCGAACTTCCTTCCACACAATGCTTTCCTCATTATCTTGCAGGGAAAAGTGAAGGAAATTTCGAGTATTCCGATTGCATTTGTGGAAAAAGTGTGGAGCTACATTGAAGAGGTGGTTATTTCTGTGTTGATGCGTTATACGGAGAACTATCGTCAGCTGCGGCTGTCAGCCGGGCGTGCCGGCCATAATCTAATGGCCAAGATGAAGGAAAGGTCAATCAAGTGGGTGCTGGAGCTTGTAGAGATGGAAAAGCTGACGGATTATACATGTGATGGTGATTATGTTTCAGAATGGAACAAGTTGATGGCTAGTCAAAATCAATTCATTCATGGAGTCTTAACTGACGAGAAAAAACCTTCTATCATAACTATAGAAGGCATCGGGGAAGTTGAAGTCGGTGTTCTGGGGAAGTTCCCGCATGTGTTAGCTCAAGCTTATGACCTTAAAATGAGAATGATTGCCTATTGGAAGGTTGTTTTGAGGAGGCTTGTGGACTACATGGCATTGCACTTGCAGCGGTCTGTTTTCAACCTTGTGAACAAAGAGATGGAAGCTGAGATTGTGAATGAGTTGATGGGACCATACGGTGGGGGAATTGAGAGGATGTTGGAGGAGTCGCCGGCAGTGGCAGTAAAGCGTGAGAAGCTTAACAAAAGCATAAAAAAACTGAGGGATTCGAAGGAGGTGGTGGCCAAGATTATGGACAGCATTATCACTTATGGTGATTAACTAACTTGGCAATTAGCTTTCTGTTGTCTGATGTGGGTGGTTGTTTGTTTGTCAACTTTTGTTTTTAAGTTCTTTTGTTCCCTTTGTGTTCTTGTTGTGTGATGGTCCGTAGTCGTATGGTTGTGGTAATCCATGTCAAGTTTAATGTTTTTAATGAAATTTAAATGCGATTTCCTCCTACATACAGTTAACTCCTATTTTTTGTCTCATGTTATCTGCTTTCATTACCGCTTATTAATATGATAGTGAGCTTTCATGACCAATTTGACAGACATAAAAATTTATTTAGGTAAATAATGAGACACGCATTGTAGAAATTCTAACTGATAAGAAAATCATCTTCCTTAAATCTTCTTTTTGATGTCAAAGTTGTAATTGCCTGAAAATAAATACGTAAATAGTGTTACTTGTCTAAGATAATTAAACTTGTTTGCCGGTTGGATAATTCTAGAGAGACTAAATTTTTTAAACCAAATTTGCAAACCAAATGATGTGGTTGTTGATGATTGAATTATTATTTTTGTGTTGATTAACGTGCTTATTTCCTATTAATGACACATCATTTGGTTGAAAATTTTGATTTCCCTAATATTACCTTTGCTGGTTTATATGCTCAGTTCTATCTAAGAAAGGTTATCATTTTAACTGATCTATACATACCCACACACACACACATATATATATATATGTTCTCCTTTGTATGCCTTTTTATCTTGCTTTTGTACGGCAATTGTTTTTAGTCTAGTGTTGCCTTGTTTCTTGGGCCTAGCATCAAATTGAAAAAGGAATAAAAAGCATTTAGACAACATTGTTGATGAAATGGTCAAGTGGGGGAGAATGTTCTCCCTTGTATCTCTTTTTATCTTGCTTTTGTACGGCAGTTGTTATTAGTTTTTTTTGGCAAACGTACGGCAGTTGTTTTTAGTCTAGTCTAGTGTTGCTTTGTTTCTTGGGCCTAGCATCAATTTGAAAAAGGAATCAAAAGCATTTAGACAACTTATGAAATGGGAAGGGATCCTCTCCGAATCCCTTTTACCAAATCTAACCAATCAACAAATTTAAGCATTTAAAATTTGATCAAACGGTTAAAAACATGAGATCTCTTTAAAAAGTTATACTAACTTTAATCGTTAAATTAAATTTTTAGGGTCCAGATTTGTTAATTGGAAGAATTTGATGGAAGGAATTTGAGGATGATCCTTTCTCATGAAATGGTCAAGTGGGGGAGAATGTGGATTGAATAAAAGCAATCATGTCACATTCTCCTCCTTTTACTAGGCAGAGGGACTTTTTTATGTAATAAAAAATTAGTTCCAATAGCGTCGTAGATTTTATTTTCACTTTTTTTAGTTTCTCACACAATTGTCAAAAAAAAAAAAAAGAAGCTAAATAATTTGTGTAAATGTTACTTCCCAAAAATATTTGTAAAGTTGGTCATGTATTGAAAAAATTGTATTATTCATCTAATGAACATGAAGCAAAACTGAATGCAGTGACATTTTATATAGCCGACCTCACTTATTAGAATAAGACTTTGTTTTTGTTATTGTTATCCATCCAATAAAGTCATGATTGTAGTGTGATGAACTGATGATGCGAAAGAATCTTTTTTTTTTTAAAAGAACAAGTGACGTGACAAAACTAGTGAACTAAAAATTTTCTCAAAGAATGTGATCTACAAACAAATTTGAAGAAAGTAAAAAAAAAAATGTAAAGCACATTGGCAAGGAGGGACAGATTGATGTTGAAGCTTTGATTGTGACGCAAGTTCTTATATCGTGGTACTTTTCTCTTTGCTTTCACAGCTCAGATGTTATTGCTTTGTTACCAATATTTAATTTTGTTCAGTTCTACAATTGAAATTTGAATTTTGATCATTAGTATATGCATTGAAACATAAATGTTATAATAGAGGTGGATAGGATGAAATTAGATTTTTTTTTTTCTCATTAGCATTTGATGTCTACAAATGCTAATTACTCATAGGCTTATCATGCTAGAGAGGCTATACTTTACTAAATTACATTGAAAACTATTTAATAAAAGTAGGGTTCACTAATATAAGAAAATTCCACCTTTTTTTAAAGATGTGGTACAATGCGTCCTAAATTGTAGTCTCAATTGTTTTAGCCCTGTCATCTTTCCCACGTTCTTTTTTTTCTTGCAAAACTATTTAATATTTCATGGTGCCATAATCTTAATCTCCAAGTAACAATGATTTATACAAAATTGGTTTATTGTTGTGTGGCGTCCTAGTTCAGTTATATGTGCTTATAAATGTTAAAAAAAAACAACAGCTTAAAATGTAGAGTAATTTTTGAATTTGTATCACTTAACTCATCCGCATAAAACTTAACACATAAAATGAGAATTCCTTAATTCGAGTTCACCAAAAAGTGTCTATAGACTTTTAATTTTAAATCTCAACGGAAAGAATAATGTTTATGTGTGTTTTGACACAAACGAGTATTGTAGCACGCATACGACACCCAAGAGATTCTCAGAACATGTCATCTACAAACAACTTATGAAGAAAGAAAGTAAAATATAAAGAACATCGGCAAGGAGGGAAAAGGATTGATGCCGAAGCGATGAGTGTGACGCAAAATCTTTATACTATTGTGGGTTCTCTTTCCTCTTGGATGCCCATGGAACTGCTTTTTCTTTGATGGTGGGGCCCCAACGACACCATGTTAAGCCCATTTACTTGAGTCCACTACTTCTCCTCTTGTAACCGGGCCGTACCAGCCTTCTTTCCTTACGTCCAAGTAGCTAGGGTTTTTTCCTTTTATGAGGAGTATAAATTTGTAACAAAGGAGAGTAGAAAGAACCTATGAAATGATGAATTAAAGTTGCCTCTTTTTTCTCAAACTCTTCTTTCCCTTTCTTCTTTTAAATTCCTGCACTATTTTGTATTAAAGTTGCCATTTTCAGCCAACCTGAACCGATTGGGCATACCAATTGGTATCAGAGCCCGTCGATTTAATGGGCAAAAACATGCAGTCCGCCACCTCTGATCCAGACGCCGTCACTGTTGCGGTTGATGTTCGTCAAAAATACCTGCGAACTCAAGTTGATGACTTGTGTGACTCAATCTTCGCCCTGGAAACACAACAAACCCACCTCCAGAAATCTCTCGAAACCTTGAACACCTCCAACACAGCTTTTCAAAACAATATAACCTCACAGTTTGCAGCTTTTCAATCCCTAATGCTTGGCGAACTTCGAATCCTCAAATCGGGGCCTCCACCCTCCCAAACCTCCACCCACACCGCCACCCACCACACACCCAACCCCTCTTCAACCCCCATTCAACCTCAACACCAGACCACTTCATTTCTCGGTCCTCGTCCCTCTAACCTTAACCCATCCCCTTGATTTCGTTTAATTTTTGTGCCTTTCAGTGCTCAATCCTCAAGTCTGGGCATTTCCTACCCACTCTCCCCGAGCTTAGCCCCATTTTCCACTTACACCACCACCACTTCACCCACCCCCATTCCCACCGCTACAGCCCCAACCCTACCATTTATCACACTCACAATCCTTCCACTTAAGTCCCTCCACGGCACCCAACTCCTCACCACCCTCCCTTCCCATATTACCCAACCCACCTCCCTAGAACCCTCATTCACATTTTAAAGCTATTAAAATGGAACTGCCATGATTTAATGGCGAGGACCCTTACGGGTGGTTAACCATAGCAGAACGTTACCTTGACTACTGAATAAAATGCCCAAACAGCATGGCAAAAAATTTACCCGATATAGTGAAGAAGATCAATGACAGGCTGAATTTTTGCATTATGGAACTGAATAAAATGCCCAAGAGTCTTTCGTCTGTTGCTGAGGCCATGACGGCCTTTATGCAAATCATTGGCTTGGCTAAGGAATCGCTTAGGAAGATCCTTTTGAGAGGAGAATTTGAGGAGTACGCGGAAGACAACCGCATGCACTGCACTGCTAGATTGGTTGAGATGCTCAACCAGTACTCGGATGAACTTCACAGATGTCCTGAAAGTGATGCAAAGAGCAACTTCTTGATGGAGGAAATCAAGATCTTGGAGGAGAACAAAGGTATTTCACTTCCGAACTTTCTTCCGCGCAATGCTTTCCACATTATCTTGCAGAGAAAAGTGAATGGAATTTCAAGTATTCCGATTGCATTTGTGGAACGAGTGTGGATCTACATTGAAGAGGCGGTTATTTCTGTCTTGATGCGTAATTCGGAGAACTATTATCAGCTGCAGCTGTCAGCAAGGCGTGCCGGCCATAATCTAATGGCCAAGATGAAGGAAAGGTCAATCAAGTGGATGCTGGAGCTTGTAGAGATGGAAAAGGTGACAGATTATACATGCGATGCTGATTATGTTTCCGAATGGAACAAGTTGATGGCTAGTCAAAACGAATTCATTCAAGGAGTCTTAACTGATGGGAAGAAACCGTCTGTCATAGCTATAGAAGGCATCGGGGAAGTCGAAGTCGGTGTTCTGAGGAAGTACCCGCATGTTTTAGCTCAAGCTTATGACCTTAAAATGAGAATGATTGCCTATTGGAAGGTTGTTTTGAGGAGGCTTGTGGACTCCATGGCATTGCACTTGCAGCTGTCTGTTTTCAACCTTGTGAACAAAGAGATGGAAGCTGAGATTGTGAATGAGTTGATGGGACCATACGGTGGGGGAATTGAGAGGATGTTGGAGGAGTCCCCGGCAGTGGCAGTAAAGCGTGAGAAGCTTAACAAAAGCATAAGAAAACTGAGGGATTCTAAGGAGGTAGTTGCCAAGAATATGGACAGCATTGTCACTCATGGGGATTAACTAACTTGCCAATTAGTTTTGAGGGTACTAAAAATGGTCTAAATAAAAGTATGCAGTCTGTTTTCTTATGTCGTTGGTTGTTTGTTTGTCAACTTTTGTTTCAAGTTTTTTCGTTTCCTTTGTGTTTGTTATGTGGTAATTGTATGGTTCTGAACATTCAACACGATAAATGGCACATAAATCTGAGGAAGAACACCATTTCGAAGAGTAAATGAATCAGATGCATTACTGTTACACTTAACTCATCGTGGAATCAGCCACAAAAAATTAGGGAAAGCGTCATGGCTATAACACAAGTTACTTGCACATACAACAAATTCAAGGAAGATAAGCGAACCGGTATGGTCATCTTAGATACCCGCGGCCACCACATTCTGAACACATAATGTTACCACTTCCCCCGCAACCTACAAGGAGCAACTATCGGTTTAGCATATTCTCATCGGCCATATATACTCCAATCAACAATATAAACGTCTTCCTTTTCAAATCAACATATAATTCTTTGTTTATCCGCATCTCCAGCTGAGCACCCAGCCTTCGGAATTCATTATCTTATTTCATAATTTTCCGTCAATCACGCGTGATTCTCACATGTACTCATTCAGGATAAGAATTCATCTCAATGCAAATTTCATGTAGTTAAAGAACCAAAAAAAGACCCCGAATGAGCTAGATATTATCCTAGGTAAGGCCTCCTTTCAATTAAGGCAGTATAATTTCAACAGTTTTAAACATCTTCGTCAATTGGAACTTAACAGAGACTTGCAATCTAGGTAAGGCCTCAAAGTTTTCTCAAAAGATAATCTTGGCCTCAGCCTTTGATGAAAAGACACCCCTTTTCATTTACTTCCAATCCCTAACCTCAACATTGCTCACAGAGATAATCTTGGTCACCCTTAAAATGACCGAGAAACTGAGAAAAGCTTATACGCCATCACATCAAATCGAAAAACCTCAGTCAAAGCGAGCTCCAAATGCTCGACGAGGTTACGAATCAAGCTTACTTTCACATGCACCTCTAATAGTAAATGAACTTCCTTTAATCCATTACCAATTAGAAACAGTTAAAAATCAACTCTTGCTACAAATCATTAGCAGCAAATAGGACAAAAAGATAAGTAACAGTTGAAGATCTTAAGCATCCCGAGGCTTACCCCAAGTCGGGAAATCGACGAACTCGCCGGAGAAGGCGGCTCTGCCGCGATGGTGATGTTGCAGGGTTCCGAGGGAGGAGAGAACAGTGATGATGGGGGAACAGAGAAGGATGGGGACTTCAGCTTGGTTTCAGTTCCGTGGAATCGCCAGTTTTTTGGGTTTTGAAGGAGGATGAGGGTCGTGCGAGAGAGATGAGGGCCGGGAGAGTTAGAGAGTGTGATAGTCCAAGATGAGAGGAGAGTGACGGGGAAAAGGAAGAGAGAGGGAGGACCAGGAGACCAAATAAATGAGAAGTCTCTCATCTTTTTTTTTTCCATCCAATTTCCGTTCAAATAGATCATGATTACATTTTATATTAATATTTTATTTATATAAAAAAATACAAAATAAAGAATATTAAAGAAGGGGGTGAAAAAAGAGAGGATGTGACAGACCGTCCCGAAATAATTTTATCGACGGCATGAATTGACGTTTTTACCCTTACGTGTTTGTGGTTATGTGTGTGAGCTACATTGGGCCAATAGGGTGATATCCCAAATTATTGGACCCAATTAGAACTTGAGCTTAGTTTTGGTGTGATTGGTTAAACTTATACACACACATGCACACGTGCACCCCTTTTTCTTCCTTTTCTGTTTCTGGTTCTGTCTCTCCCTCCTTCTCGATTTTTCTTCTATTTTCCATACCCTAAGTACGGATATACATGCTTCTCCTTGCACCCTTGCAAGTTCAACTATACCCTTGGTTTGTCCTGAAAACCTTGAAAACCCTTGAAACCTGAAAGCTCCAATAAAGGTATTGTTCATGCACTCGTGATTGAGGAGGTTTTTAGAGATTCTAAGATCACAGGGAGTTTCTAGACGTCTTCACGAAGCTTGGGGAGCAACGTTGACGTGTTTTGGATGTCGAAATCTTGAGTTCTATAGTTGATCAGATTTTTCGAGATTTCTCTGGCGAGATTCCAGCATCGTTGGGACCTCAAATTGGTATAGATTTCTTCCCCTTGTCCTAAGCTTCATTTTGACGTTAATTTCGTGAAATTTAGTTAAGATTTGACTGAGATATCAACATTTGAAAATTTTCCAGAAACCCGCAAACAGACGGCGACCGGCGCCGGACTCCCGTGACTCAAGGAAGGAGACGATGAATATTCCGTCAAGTTTGATGGAATATTCTAACAGTGTCAGGTTAGATTTAATGGAATCTGTTACTTTTTAACAAAATATTCCTTACGGCATTAACTGTTCCGTCCGTGTGCCAGGCACGTGCCTACGCGTGGGTGACAAGAAATTTTTTCTAAAAATATGAGGGTGTTCTGAGATTAAGTAAAGCATGTTGTTAGATTCAAACACCTCCAATTGAGCAATGTATGAGAAGTTATTACCTAAGGTTGGTTATGTGCGTTTAATTGACGGTTTTATAGTTGTTTCACATATAGGTAAGGCTTATCCAGAAGACGAGCACAGCCATGCCAGGCTCGGGGGCTAAGACCCTTCTACTTATCAGTGAGTGGGCTTTTGTTTTCAGAATATATATATATATATTTGATATTTTCCCAGATATTATGTTTTAAAATGGTTTTATAATTGAAATGCCATGTCGAATATCATTATTGTTTATTATGATTTATGTTGGTTATGAATTGGCGTCGCTCAGGTAAGTCAGGTGAGTATACTTGTTAGTGATAGTTGTGATGATGATGAGATTGAGATATAGCTCATATTCCTGCACCCCGGTGTTTGTGCTCTGCCAGAGTACGGCATAGCCTTCACGTGATCGTTCACCTCCCGCACCGTACGCTCACCTTGGACCCAAGGCAGGTGCCAGCCTGTCGTACAGACCACTATAGGTGGTTCCGACTCATAGGTGACTTGTGATACGTTGCACAGCCTTCACGTGATCGTAGCACTGAGCGTAATTATACACCCAGCCTGTCGTACAGACCACTATAGGTGGTTCCGACTCGTGTGCAAGATAGTGATTGAGGAGCTATATATTCAGTCGTACAGTTCACGTTAGGTGACTCCAACTGACGTATTGAGATTGGCGGCATATTATGATTTGATTTATCTCACCTACTTGATACTTATTTTGTTTTGATTGGGTAATTCGACATGTCGTATTCTAACATGGCATATTTGAGATTTATCGTTTTCCAGCATGATTGATATTTGAGTATGGATGATATTTTCTGAGAAAGTATAGGGAGAGGGGTTACTATTTTGATATTGAAACGGTTTTGGAAAAACTTTGTTTTTACCCACTCATGTTTTCAGTTTTGCGCCGCTCCAAGTTTTAGGTAGTTGCGACGTTGGTGGCGAGCGAGGCATCGAGACAGTTTTAACAAGGCATCATCCATGTAGGATTTATTTGGTTAACGTTTATTCAGTACTTGTTTATTCCGGACTGCACCTAGGTTACTTGAACTTTGATGTGGTGCTTTATGCTTTCCTTTTCATCACTTTTACTCACTTATCTTTTGATGTAAATTATTCGGTTTACTTTTCGTTTCCTCACTGTCTTTCACTTTAATTCTTCCGCACAACGCGCATGGCTACGTCATCCTCACGTGACTGCCAGCACATCTCGATATTTTGGGTCAGGGTGTGTCAGAAGAGATAATCCTAGTCCCCAAATAAAAGCGGTGGGCCTCATTGGCGCACCAAACAAGTCATAAGAGACAAACATGCAAATATCTCTCACATGTGAAAATACCAATTTACCCTTGTCGTTCTGAAATTTATAAAATTTTGAGACAGGTCATTACATTTGGAGTTCACTTGTTTAGAATAATTTAGTTGTTTATCCTTACTGCTTGAGTTGGTATGTTTTTTTTTATTTTTTATCCATAAACCTAGTTTTGACGAAATATTCCTTACATTGTACCTGAAACGACAACAAACAGTTCTAGTAAAACTACAACTTCGACAACTTCAACACTTGTTATGGCTATTAAAGGGTATGGCATCTGAACTTTCTTGTTGTTTATTTTCCAATACAATATATGTAATACCCTGAAATTTTAAATATATGAATATGTGGAGAAAATTGAAAATAAATCGATTTATGGTTATGAAAGTAGAATTGGAAAATTTTAAAGTTTTATTTTCGGAAATTATTATAATTTATGTATTTGTATGATTGAGATTTTAGATTATTTTTCAAGAAATTATATTAATTTATTCGAGTTTAGTTTTAAATTAAACTGGTTAAGAAGTTCTAAGTTTGGGAATTTATTATTTAAAAATCCGAAAACTATTCAGAGTGACAATTTATATTTTTGAATAGAGCTCGATCTCATGAATGTGTAGGCACAAACCGTTCATGAAACGAAGTTATAACAAAGAAGATATTAACGTTTAAAGTTAAGGATATTTTAATAATTTCATTTTATGGTAGAAGGCTCCAGAAAATTTGATCCAATGGTTGTGCCACGTGTGTGGCTGAGATGAAAATAAATAAAGAAATGGACGGTTGAGATTGAAAGAAAAGAATAGAAAGGAGAAAAGGAAGGAAGGAATAGGGGGAGGTTGACCAATGGGAGAAAGGAGAAAGGGGGGAAAATGAGAGAAAAGGGGTACGGGGGATCCCTGACCTGAAAGGACCCGACTCGATTCGGTCGGTTTTCCTTGCTATTTTTGGTGAGTTTTAGCCCATTTTCCAGCAAATCAATTTAAACTACCACTTGGAAAACCCTCAATGACCTTCCCTAACCCTGTTACCCCCCAAAAATCATGAAATTTGACCTTGAAATGGGGTAAAACGCACCGGTGGGTGCGACGGTGTAGGTGTCAAAATTCACCAAATTTTGAAGTGATTTCATTCAATTACCACTACTCTCATACTCTTCTTGAGGCCTAGAACAAAGCCCATGCATTGGTTGAGGCGTCGAAGTTGTTTTGGAGACAAATCAAGAACACCCAAAACAAGAGTTTTCGGCAGTTCGTGGCCAATTTGAGGTGTTTCC